CTTTGTCTAACCAAATTCTTGCTCTTATCTTTAAATCCCATTTCCAATTTGGTTTTATACAAAGACAAAGAGGTCAAATTCTTCACAAAAATCATGCATCTACTTTAAGACTAGTATTAAAATTACACTCTTCCTTCTTCAGAGTACAAACCTGTGATTTCTGCAACACTGTTAATCTAAACTTAATGTTATATCTTATGTACTTTCAAACCTCTCCAGTTTTTCTACATCTCTGAACAAATAAAGTAACTAAAACAGGATACCAATGAATAAAAAACAAATTTATAAATAAATACAACCCAATACTAACATGGCCAAAAAAGAAAACTCTGAAAAAACGAGATCAGTCAACTATGCTATGGTCCCCATACTAGGACAGAGGACAAGAATAGAAAAAAATTACAGTCTCAGAAATTCCAAAAGTTAATTATCCAGCAGTGGAATTTGTTGTTTCCTCACAAAACACTCCGATTTTCACAGCCACCAAGCCTTTACGACCTTCCCATCCCCAGGCAAGAAAAAGCATTCCCTGCCCTCTGCCCCAAAAAACTCTTGTTACTATGAATTCACTGAAGTTCTTTCTCCCAGAACAGGCAGGTGGCCCTCCTGGGGTCTTCTTAGCTACCACCTCAGTTCTGTTAGAACCCAATGCTGCTAACTAATTATACAACTGTTGAAACCACTTCCTATAATCTTTTATTTCCTTTAAAACCAGATTCATTTTTCTGAGCTTAAGAAGAGGAAAAAGGGTTGAGAAAAGATGAAGGAAGAAAGCAAAGAACGAGAACTCTTTTTTTTTTTCTAAGTGAATTTAGCTGTTAGGATTTGTTTTCCCATAATGTGAAAATATACCTTTCTTTAAGATAATTAAGAGGAATACGTGAATAAAAGGCAAGAAAAGAAAACTTTAACAACAACAATTAGATTACAAAACAACAGAAATACAGAAAATAAAGCTAATAAAAAGAGAAAAGATAAAAGACAGTAATAAAAAAAAAATGGAGAGACTACAAGATGCAAAAACAGAGTTGTAATCAAGGAAAAGAAAATAGAAATCTGTCCCAAAACAGGCAGTAGAGTTATGGATGCAAAATGTAATTTCATTTTGTGTTTCTTTTTAAAAAAAGCAATAATATGGCTATTTGAAATTAGTTTCGGGGAACATAAGACTGATTTCAGCCCATTAATGTACATGGGAGAGATTCAAATATTAAGGGATTTTATGACAAAGACTTCTAGAAAATGAAGGATTGAGTCAGGAATAAATAGCCATATAAAAGCATCAGTAATTTGGGGTGCCTGGGTGGCTCAGTCGGTTAAGCGTCTGCCTTCAGCTCAGGTCATGATCTCAGGGTCCTGGGATTGAGCCCCAGGGCTCCCTGCTCGGCGGGAAGCCTGCTTCTCCCTCTCCCACTCCCCCTGCTTGTGTTCCTGCTCTCGCTGTCTCTCTCTCTCTCTGTCAAATAAATAAATAAAATCTTTAAAAAAAAAAAAAAAACCATCAGTAATTCAACACTCTTCCAAGTTTAGGCTGGCCTTCATACCTCTCTGGTGATACACTGAACAGGAAGCTATTCAAATAAAAATACAGGGAAGAAGATACTGGATGTGCTACTTCTACTTCTATCTCTTGGACCCATGTCAGTCATGGCAGCAGCTAGTAAAATCCTAAGGGGTTAAAGTCCACCCCATACCCAAGACCAAAAACTACTCCCACCCCACCTTGGCTCAATGGTTTTCTCCCACTGTGGTGAGGGTGGTTTTGGAAAAGCTCCTCAAATGCCAGGAAACACTGTAATACAAAAAGAAAAAACAATTCATAAGTACCAAAACTTAACTAACATTTTGGCCTCCCTCTCAAGGAAGATTGGTATAGCGGAAAAAGCATTAGTCTAGGAACCAAGGAACCAAGTGTATTCTGCTTGTACAGCATTCATTCTAAGATGTTTGCTATATTCCAGGTGACTTGGTAGGGGAGGACATCAAACACTCCCTTTCTACTAAGGGTGAGTAAACAAGTAGAACCTAAGCCAGAAGCTGCTGATGGTCATCTCTGCCATTAACTGGGCTGAAAAAACAAGCCATCAGAGAAGCTAGTAGAACTAAGGGACTTTAGTAGACTAAAGAGACATTCCTGGTGACACAATTTAAGAACCAGGCTCCAGTTCTTTCTGTAGATATTTTCTCCTTTAAGTTGGTCTGTAATGGGTTTCTGTGACTGCAACTAAGTCTGGCCAATACACTTGGGTTCTAATTCCACCCTGAATCTGGACAAGTCATTCCTCATTTATTAGCCTTAGTTTCCTTTTCTATCAAATGGATCTGAGGTTTTTCAAAGTGTTTTTTAGGTAATGGGATTTTTAAATAAAAATCGTATTTTGATATCAAAAATTAAAATGGCTTTATTCACATAAATGTATTTTATTAAGATCCAGTTTACATTTACTTCTGACCAAGATAAATAAGAACAATGGATATTTAAATCTCACCTGAAGACTGAAAATAAAAATGTCTCTCTTAGTATAATGCACTTTATAAGATTAAATGTATGGTATTTACTATTATGACCAAAATTAATGATAACAATGATGTGCTTTGATTAAAACAAAACTAAAACTGGAGACTAATGGTAAAAGTTGAAATCTGTTATTAACCTCTCAGGATTCTATTTATTTCTGTATTTTGTTTTGGTTGCACATTAGTTAAGACAATCCTGATTCAAAAAGAATAGTTGCAAGAGTAACATATGTTTTCTACATATGCCTTATTCCATGATACTATTTAATTAAAGGTGGAGAAAAGTTTTGGGTTCTGCACAAAAGAAAACCTGACAGCACAAGTTTTTTTTTAAATAGATCTCCAACTGGTTAAGACTTAGTACACAACATAGTAAAACATTCAGGTATGTTGGTTTATTTTTTTAATGATTTAAACCTCATGTAAGAATTAAATTTTTTTTTTTTTTAAGATTTTATTTATTTATTTGACAGAGAAATACATAGCGAGAGAGGGAACACAAGCAGGGGGAGTGGGACAGGGAGAGCAGGCTTCCTGCCAAGCAGGAAGCCTGACGCAGGGCTCGATCCCAGGACCCTGGGATCATGACCTGAGCCAAAGGCAGATGCTCAACAACTGAGCCACCCAGGCACCCCGTAAAAATTAAATCTGAACCAAATGTTTATAGTATTCAATTAATGCTCTCAAAGAACTCACAATCTCTGAATTCTTTGAAGAACATTTTCAGTCAGATAGATATATATACTCACTGCCCATCAGAAATTGTAATGAAGCAAATATAAAAAGTTATATAATTTCTTTTTTTATAACAAACCTGCTTTAAAGAAAAGAAACACAACCTTGGAGAATTATGAACACAAACAATAAATTGGGTCAAATAAGAAGACTATAATAATAATCTATTCAGTCTTACTGAACCAACTTGATGGGGCAGATCATAGAAGGTGTTATAAAATAACCATTACTTAAGAGTGCCTTCTTTACAATGGAAATGAATAACTCTTCATCTCTAACCTCAAGAAGTTATCTATCTAGCAGAGGACACAATACATTCATTCATTCAACAAGAGTCTCCTCAGTGACACCAGCCACTGTGCAAGCAACTGGAGATAAAAAGTGAACTCTCTCTCTCTCTCTCTCTATATATATGATATATAGATATAGATATATATATGATCCCTACCCTCATAAGTTTAGACCTTAACCTAAGGACAGTAGATAATCAATAAAGATTTTAAACAAGGAGAATGTGTAATTAGGTTAACATTTTTGAAAGACAGCACTGGCTACTATATGAAATTTATTATAATTTGGAGGTAGCAACCCAAGGACAGACTGATTAGGAACTATCGCAATGATGACAAAGTAACAGGAAATCAAGAGGGAACAACAAACTCAGCTGAAGTATGTGGAAACAAAAACTTCAGAGAAGTAATGCTGTAGCTCAACCTTAATAGACCCAAAGAGTAGGCCAGACAAGCAGAGAAAGGGAGTTTGTGCAGAAGAGAAAACCATATGAAAGGCATATTTGGGAAACTTCAAGTAGATCCTCACAGTGAGTCTTGAATGTGAATCATAGCTAGAAAGGTAGATCAAGGAAAAGCATAGAGGGTATTTGATAACACAAGGCAACATCTCCAAGACATTGGGGAGTACTTTTAAGCAGGGTGTTAACATAACCAGGTTTACATTTTAGAAAGATTCTTCCAGGGATGGTGAGCTTAAAAAGACTGTTTTGGCTGGTTAAAAAGTCTAACCAGCCAAAGAGCAAAATGTTTGCCAACAGATACACTATCTCCAAGTCCTAATGTAATAATTCATCATGACAACCAAATTATGGTCCAAAAAAGTACTCTGAGCTTTAGAAACCAAGTAACTAGTACCAAGTACAGGCCACACTGCAGTTGATATGGCTATTAAAACCAAAAAGAAGGGAAGTCTCTGTAGATAAAATACTAAAAGTGTAAGTGGCAGGAGATAAATGGAATGAAAAGGAAAAAACAGTAACTAAGAAAACAGGTAAATAATAGAGAATTTTATTTCAGAAGAAGAATTATTTGTACTTGTGTCAAGATCTACCAAATCTACCTCTTATATGCAATAAATAATAAACTGTGGTTCCTGACAAGCAGTTCAAAAACCAAATTTAACTTAATACACAGTACTTAAGAAAATAACCAAACAAAAACTAGATTAGAAGCAGCAAAATATTACAGAGGACCAGCTCTACACTAGCTAACTTTCCAATGCTTAAAAAGAAAGCTCTCTCTGCCTGGTTGGTCCTTGAAAATTACCAACTAAAACGGGGATAAGGTGGAGTGAGGTGAAGGAGGATCAGGAAGGTTCATGACCAATGAACTAGACAAGTTCTGGAGTGCTCTCATCCCAATTCTCTTTCTCTCTATATAACAGATATTACTCAGATACAAACAACACATATAATGAAGAATCCAATTATTTTATCTTAAGATAATGAATCCTACCTTTCCCGGGTCATCCTTTGATCGAGGCACTTTAAGGAAACACTTGTTCAGTGACAGATTATGTCGTATGGAATTCTGAAATTAAAGAAGAAAAGCCACAGGGTCATTGGAAGACAAAAAACAAAACTCACCTTTAAAAACAGAATCAGAAGCCTAAATATCTATGCACTAGAATACAATTCCAAGTGGAATAAGCTTTATTAAATGAACTTCAAATTTAAACCTTTCTGATTTTCAAATTATGAATGCTGCAAAGAAAAGTAGCTAAACTTTACAAAATATTGATAGTTGACTTCTAGTAGACTTTACAAAACTCCAAATAATGAAATATATATCCTATTTTAAATGTTTATTAAGACCTTTTAGGAAGATCTAATCATAGGAAGATGTCTATGATTAATGTTAAATATTAAATACCAAATATAAAATTGTATACACATTATAACTTTAATTGTGGTATTTATTTATTCATTCTTTTTTTTAAGTAGGCTCCACGCCCAAGGTGGGGCTTGAACCACGACCCTGAGATCAAGAGTTGATGCTCTACCAACCGAGCCAACCAGGCACCTGCCTCTCAATCATTCATTCTTAGAATAAGCCAGAATGCAAAATGCTAAGTTATTCTACTGAATTATAGGTGATGATAACTTTTCTTTTTTTCTCTTTCCTGCAATGTTTAAATGATCTACAAGGCACATGTATTATCATTTTCTAATGAGATAAAAAAATGTTTAAGCAAAAAAAATTTCACTGCTCCATTACAAGAATATAAAGAAGACACTGGCTACAGAGGACTAGGAAGAACATCTAGGTTCATCAATACAGCAAGAAAGAACAACCATCTTGAATGGCAAGAAAATGCACCTGGAGACCTGAAGAATCTGTGAAACAGGCAATCTTTTCATGAATAAGTAGGACTGTGCCATAATTTTTACAGAAAATACCCAAAAGCCATTTCGTTTTAATGAAATGCTCCAAAATCCATCCCATAATTTTTATGCCAAAATGGCCAGGTATTTGGGGGAAATGGGCTCCAACAGCATTTAGCCACCACTTAGAATTTTAGGAGAGCATTTTGGGCATATCTTATTTTTAACATAAAATTCAGAACTCTAACAACAATGCCTATATGAAAACTTCCCTCTCATAGAGGAATACTGGGATTACAAAGTTTTTAAAAATGATCACAGAATATAGGGGTGTCTGGGGGGCTCAGTCATTAAGCATCTGCCTTCAGCTCAGATCATGCTCCCTGCTCCGCAGGAAGCCTGCATCTCCCTCTCCCACTCCCCCTGCTTGTGTTCCCTCTCTGTGTCTCTCTCTGTCAAATAAATAAAATCTTTAAAAAATAAAAATGACCACAGAATATAAATTCAAGCCTATTTTATTATCAAACATCAATTTCAAATTTAAGAATGGGAGTTCCACCTCTGCTTGGGATATAAACAGCTACAATGAGTAATGATCCCTCCCAAACAATGAGAAAACAATGGGTAAACCAAAACAAAACAAACCTATTTCTGAGCCACATCAGAGAGTTGAAGCTGCAAGGCAGCCCAACAAATTAAATTCTTAAGAAGGACAAGCCCATACAAGGAGAAAGCAGACAAACTATCTTACCTTTTTGGCAGAGTATGGGAGAATGAAGTGGCCACCATCCAAGCATCCAAAAAAGTAGCTAAAATTTGTAAGGTCAAGCATAGGCTGGTGTGTCAGTTTAGAACAGCAAGGGCCCCAAACATAAGGGAAGTTCCCACTCACTCTCCAAGCTCTTCTCCATGGGCCTTTACTATATACTCACAAAAAAGAATGGGGATGCGAAAGGAAAACAAAGTCTCCTTTGTAGCATAAGCAGAAAGGAGGTAACAGACAGCTGTAGTGGGAAACAAAGCCGTACCACCTTCAATAGATCTCACAAAGCCAACTTTAACTGTGAGGTAGGAGCAGCAAAACTTCTCACCCACAGGACTCTGGCAAAGATAGATTCTGAGGGAAGAATGGAAATGAAAACCCTTCTCAAGACACAAGCAAAGATCCACTGCTGGCTGGTAGAGAAAGAGTACCTCTTTTACCTCTGGGACAACTGTTAGAAACTACCTTGGACCCAGGACCCTACATCAAAAGCAACTACAGGTACAGGCTAGTATGGCTAAAGGAAAGAAACACTGAAAAGGCCCAACCCCAAGTACAAGTGCCGGAGTAAGAATGAGGCTGAATCAAGAAAACAGAGGGACACCTGGCTGGCTCAGTGGGTAGAGCTTGTCTTGTGACTCTTTATCTTAAAGTAGTATAGTTCGAGCCCCACGTTGTGCATAGATAAAATGAAAAATAAAATAAAGAAAGAAAAAGATAAAAATAAAAATAAAATGAAGAAAGAAAGAAAACAGAGAGAACCAACAGCCCCTACCCCAAACCTAGCAGTGAGTAACAAGCATTAACAGCCTATTGATAGAGGAGGGACAGGAACATGGAGAGATCCCCATCTGTAGCAAGGTAGGCAGAGACAACTAAAATCTAAAGAGACAACTAAAATCTAAAGAGAAAACAGGAAAACAGAAAATTCTACAGTACCCAAGCCCCTCATTTCCAAGCACAGGTAATAAGAGCCTACCACTGGAGGAATGTAAAGTCTGTGGTATAATGAAGGTAAAGATACCAACAACAAAACCCAAATTCAACTCAATTATTGACAAACTGATTCAACTCCCTAAACAAATGGCCTGGGAAAAAAGATGTTTGTCCATCTACAGGTATAAATATTATTTATCTTCGAGTGCCTGGGTGGCTCGGCTGGTTAAGCACTGACTCTTGATTTTGGCTCAGGTCATGATCTCAGTGTCCTGAGATCCACATTGGTCGTGGAACCTGCCTAAGATCCTCTCTCTCCCTTCTCTCTCTGCCTCACCCCCACCCCCAACCATGCTCACTTGCTTGATACCATTTATCTCAATCTCTACCGTTCTTCTACACATATATCTGGCACTCAGTCAAAAATTGCAAGACACATTAGAAATGCAAAAAAACCCACAAAAAACCCACTGTCAAGAGATAAAAATCATAAACACCGAAATGAAAGGTGTTAGAACTATGAGACCAGAACTTTAAAGTAACTATGACTAATATGTTCAAGGACCAAGGAGAAATAGCGGTAACTTGCATAGAGAGATGGGGAACTTCAACAGAAATGTGGAAACTCTAAGAGCCAAATGTAAATGATAGAATTTAAAAACATGATCAAAGATAAAGAACTCCCTAGATGGGTTCATCAGTAGCCTGGACACAACCAGAAAAAGGCTCAGATATTTTGAGGACATATTAACAGAAATTATCGAAATTGACACACATGCGTGCACAAGTACTTTAAAAATACACACACACACATGATCATTCAAGAACCATGGAACAATATATGTGAGTCCCAGAAGGAGAAGAGAAAAAGTATGGAGAAGAAAAATGTGAAGAAGGAACAGCCAAGAATCTTCTGAAAATAATGCAAGACATTAAATCACAGATGCAAGAACTTCAGAGAACATCAAACAGAAGAAATTAAAAATTCACACACCTATATTCATTATAGGTCAAAATGGTGGAAAATCAAAATGAAGAGAATATTGTGAAGGCACCAAAAGGAAAAAAATTATGTACAGAGGAATAAAGATAAAAATTATAGCAGATGTCTCAAAAACTGCAAGTTAGAAGACAACAGAATGACATCTCCAAAATACTAAAAGAAAAAAAAGTATTCTATATGCAGTGAAAACATCTCTCAAAAATGAAGGCAAAATAAAGACCTCCAGAAAAGCAAAAGCTAAAAGAATTTATTTTTTCTAGTGCCAGTTGGCTGGTAATGTTATACAAAAGCTCTTCAGGCAGAAGTATAACAAATAGAAACTTGGATCTACAAAAAGAAATAGAGTTCAAGAAATTATAAAAATGAAGGTAAATTTTAAAAACACTTTTTCTTATTTATGACACCTTTAAAATATAATTATCTAAAGAAAATATAATAATTATGTGGTTTATAACATATGAAGGAAAATGTGTAACAACAGCACAAAGGATGGGTCAAAAGAATCAGAAATATAAAGTTTATAAAGTTCTTACACTATACATAAAATGGTATATTTGAAGGCAGATTGTGATAAACATACATGTGGTAAACCCTACAGCAGTCAGTAAAATTTAGGAAGAGGTATAACTAATAAAATAATAGCAGAGAGAAAATGTAATCATAAAAAATAGCCCAAATCTAAAAAAAGACAAGGAAAAAAAGAACTAATAAAACAAACCGGAGTTCATCTACCCACCTTAAAAGTTCAAGATGGGGAGAAAAAAAATCAAGATGGTCACATGTTTTTTTCTAAATGGCCTCAGGGGAAGGACACATCTCTCCTTGGGGCTTCCTCCTCTACAAAAAGCTTAAATGTTGGAAATCATCAAGGCTCTGCCCTAAGTCCTTTTTTCATTTCCACATTTGCTGCCTATGTAATCTCATCTACAGCCATGGCTTCAACGACCATCTGTGACAATCTATCTAGACCTCCAAACTACACTGGAGTTCCTAAATACATATTTTCAACAATCTACTAGACATCTCCAGAAACACCTTAAACTCAATTATGTTTAAAATTAAACTCAATCTTTATCCCCAGTGTGATCTTCCAGTTTTCTCTTCTCAGGTTAAAGACAATTATTCATGTAACAGCTCCAATCAGAAAGCTTTAAGACATCCTTAATTCTTCTCTCTTCTTCACCATCTAAAATAAATCTGTTAGCAGATCTTAAGTCTACCTTTGACCTACCTACTTTATTCCATCTCTTCTGCCACTATCTCAGTCCAGGACATCATTCTCACCAAAAATAGTACAATAGCTTCATAACTGGTGTCGCCCTCCACCTTCCTCTCTTTGTCCCTACTCCACCATGCTCTACCCTGCAGGCAGTGATCTCCTCACAAGGTAAAAATTCAGTATTACCCCTTCACTTAAAACTTTCCAATTACGTCCTATTGCATTTAGGATAAAATCTAAATCCTTAACAGAGCCTCCAAAGACCTTTCATGATCTGACCCTACC